CACATGTTCTGAAATCCGTTGCGACCATTGGAAGCGCGACGGTGCGTCTTTCGAGAAACAAGGCGTCTTTCGAGGACCCACTGTTGTAAAGGTAAGTTGTTTTGCTCGGTTGAAAATAAGTATTTATGGTTAAATTTTGGGCTTTCACTATAATGACCTTTCAAAATAACAAATTGCCACAGCCCCATGAAGTTCGTTATACTAAGATTTAACTGTAGGTGGCCATAGCAGACAACGACACCAGTCAAGGAATTATGAGAAGTGTAGACCTTTTCCCAAGCAGTTGCTTAGCACTCCGTACAGTCAGGAAAGAAGCTACAGCAGTATTTTACTGATTTCGTAGACTGAAGTGCAACAAGAATAACAATAATAAAAAGAGACAAGAAAGCGGCTGTGAACGAGAGGGCGGCAGAGCAATCCAACCAGTCATGTCACAGGGATACCTCCGCGTGGTGGCGCCACGATATGTCCTCGCGCCCAATATTGGTGTAGCGGAGATGGTGTTTTTGGAGCAACCGCTCAAACATGGTCTTTGACGCAATAGTTTGCATCTGCCCTGAGTAGTTCTAGTTTCTCATACCACTCCCCATATCCATTTTTTCGAGGTTTTGGTCCAAGGGCACAGCCATGGCAGTAGTTAGAGAGAACAATGTGGTCCAAGTCCAGGACAGAATACAACTCGTTGACACAGCCAACACCGATGTGGCTTGTGTAGCTTTTTGTCATCCATGTGCCATCGTAACATCGATGTTCCCTGAAGCACATCCAAGGTCCCCATATATCTGACGCACCTTCTCTGCCCTTGCAGCCTTCATTGCTGTTGCAGCAGATGCTGTGGCAGGGTGGCTACACTTGCAGTACAGCCTCCGGTACAACTAGTGATGCGGTCCCCAATGGAAAATGTCCATGTGGCAAAAACTAACGATAAGTGCAGTTTGATTTTTGCCCACTGACTACACAGCTCTTACTGCACGAACATTCACCTTAAGGGGGGACGCGGGGATCAGATAGCGAAAACAGCGAAAAAAATCTACTTTTGGTAAGCACTCATTTCGGCATCTGCAGTTCCTATTCTATGCCGTACCAAACCTATTTGGCTGAAAACCATCCCCAAATGCCCGAAAAAAATAATAATAAGTTTGTCAGCGCGATCGGCGAGAAAGAGGCTCAAAATCGCACAAAAACACCGATGTTCACAAAGCAAGTGTTCATCTCTCGCGCCACCGATTGCCGCCATCTTGGTATCCTTCGAAACGTCGAGCACATGGTTATAAGGGCAATCCGAGGGTCGTTTTACGAAACGGGGCATCCGATTGGCTGGCATGCTGCAAGGAGGCTCCCCATAGAGTGCTGTCACGACAATAGAGGAGGAGCCGCCGCGGTCATTTGCATCAAAAACCATGTTTCATGCACGTTTTTTTTACACTTGTTGCATGCACGCTGTTATAGAATCTCAATCGTTCAAAAAGAAGTTTCCGACGACTCACGCATTTGGAAAACCAAAGCGGAGGCCTCCTACGGCGAAAAAAGGCGCCGGTTAGCGGGAGCAGCGGAATATCCAACGACTGTTCTGGGATCAACGGGACACGTGAATGACATGCCAAGTTGCCTTGCACCGCGTCACTCCCAAGATCCCAGCGGTGAATCTAACAGTCACAGTGTGAAAGCATCGAAAACGCGTCGTCTGGTGATCGTCACGGAACACTGTCAACGAAGAACGCATCCTATGCTTCCCCGAGTACAACGACCCTCGACGCGCAGGCGCTCGCTCGCGTAGCCGACATGAAATCGCCGACTACCGTTCGGATGAAAGGTCGTTGTCAAAGTCTGCGAAAGTGCGCCGGTTATCTACGAAGGATCTTCGTCCGTCGACAAGCTTCGACGTGAACGATGATTCACCACGTGCGCTCCCTTCAAGTTGCTCAACACCGTCGACGAAGCGCCGAGATGAAATCGCCGATAGCCGGCGCTGTCGGCGATTTCAGGTCGCCGTCGCCGGCAAAGCCTGTGGAAACGCGCCTTTTATCAGGGAGCGTTTCCCACGCGTCGACGAGCTTCGACGGGCACTTTCATTCACCGTGTGCCAGTGATTCGAAAATGTACGCAACGTCATCAAATGAATATCGCACCATTCAGGCGCACTTGGAGACTCGCAACATATCAGCGGGAGCGGTGGAGGCGCAAGCATTGAGCGTTCGCGACTCTCTTCGCGCGGTCTTCACCATGAGCTATGCCCCCCTGGTCCTACGAGCTGGTGTACACACAAAGTTGCAGAGGCACAAGGACATGCACAACCAGCCCACAAGTACAAGCCTTCCAGCAGAGTTGCCAAAACGCTGTTGCCAGTGTATGAACGCCTTGCAGACACACAGCTGTCTGAACGGTGTAAAGGAGGGAAGACACACAATGCAGCTGAGAGCTTGCATTCTGTGATTTGGTCTCTATCCAAGGACCAACATGCCTCCCTTTTTGCTGTAGAGAGAGCAGTAAACGAAGAAGTAATGAAATATAATTCAGGATGCAAGCATATGTCCTCGGAACCGTGTGTTACATTGAGTGTGCGTCTTGGTTTTATGGCCCTCCAGAGGGCTCAAGAAAAAGACTGTTGCGTCTCAAAAAAGCGCGCAAAAATGAAGAAACCAAGGGACAGAGGTCCAAGAAGATGCCTCTTCACAGTGATGCCAAAGACTATATCCCTCGGGCATTTTAATAAAGGTGCAACATTTGCAAAACTTTAAAGGCCATTTCCTGTGATGTTTTTTTTTTCTAACCACCTTGCTCATGGAAAGCATTGCGCGACTATGGCTGGACCGATTGTCATTCTGTTTGTTTTATTGCAACTCGTAGACTGTCATACCTGAAGACAGTCTTCAAATATTATTTTAGGCTTCCATATTTTTTTAAATTTCACAGTTACTGAAAGGCAGGACTTGATGAAGCACATGCATATGCAGATAATGTTCAGCAGAATATTGTTAGGGCATTAAAAAAAAACAACCTGGCACTGTCTTCGGCTACAAGCAATATGTACACATACATTAAAAGTTGTTCCAGCACATAAGCAAGTTTCCTTGCTGTGCCAGACTCTCCACGAGCAACAAACTCAAGAATGTTTTTATAAAATGAGAACTAGTAAAGCTATCTTTATGAAAATTTACATTCATCTCTTTAATGTGATTTTTAGTGTGTACCATAATTACTCGAATCTAACGCGCACCTTTTTTCCGGTTAAGCGAGTTCATAAATCGCATGCGCGTTAGAATCGAGTACGAAAAAAAAAAATATACGTTCAATCTATTGCCATCGGCAAATCCAAAATGGCCGCCCCCTACGTGCGTCGGCATGGCGCGTCAGCCATTTCTGCCTATGTGTTTCTCATGTGCGGCACTTCGTACGTGTGCTGAGGAGTTCGTCATCTAGTAGTGCATTAGCATCGACGGCGTGGAAGGGCCAACTCCAAAAACTAGTGCACCACGATGCCGCTTTTAAAAGAAAAGCCATCGCGTGTGCGGAAACGGACGGAAATCGGGCCGCATCGCGGTCGTTCGGAGTTCCCGAAACGTGCGTGCGGGATCGGCGGAAACAAACGCAGAAGATTGTCGACAGCAAAGCTTCACGCAAAGGCTTCAATGGACCACAGCAGGGTCGGTTTCCGCAAATTAAAGAGCTGCTCGGCGAGTATGTGCTTGAGCGGCAGAGCGGCCCGTGACGACAGAACTGCTCCAAGTGCGGGCTATGCAATTAGTCTTAGAAAAAGGTCTAATGTGGAGCCAGTTTAAAGCGAGCAGGTGCTGGCTAACTAACTTTATGAAGAGGAAAGGCTTTTCCCTCCGAAGGGGAACATGCATATGCGAAAAGTTTTGCGGAGGAGTACGATGAAAAGCTTCACAGTTTTCAGAGGTTCGTCCTAAACTTGCGGCGCAACAACGGCTACCTGCTTGGGCAAATCGGGAATGCCGATCAGACGCCTCTTTACTTCGACATGCCTGGCACCACAACCGCCGAGAAGAAGGGGGCGAAGCAAGTTCGCGTGCTGACATTGGTCCACGGTAAAACTGCAGTGACGGCAATGCTCTGTTACACGTCAGATGGGCACAAGCTTCGCCCGTACCTCATATTTAAATGGAAGACGCTCCCGAAAGGAGTCGTTTTTTCGAGTGGTGTGATCGTGCGGGCCAGCGAGAAGAATGGGTGCGCGTTGCAAGCGATGTCTCACGTTTTTTTTTTTTTTTTTTCGCGGTAAAAATCGGGTGCGCGTTACATTCGAGGGCGCGGTAGAATCGTGTAAATACGGTATACCGAATTTCATGAACCTAGGCCAAGCAACAAAAAAGTTACAAACGATCCCCACATCCCCCTTAAATGGATTGATATGCTGAGGACAAGCACACATTGGAGATGACCATTCTTTACATATTAATCCACAGTGGTCACATAGCACTTCTATTTTAGTCCCGAGCCCAAGAGAAAGTCCAGTTTCAAAACAAACTGGGGCCCTTCCACAGTGCTGGTAGCAAAATCCAGACTGCAGCTTATTAGATACATAGATATGCGAGGTTCAACGTCCCAAAACCACCATATGATTATGAGAAACGCCGTAGTGGAGGACTCCGAAAATTTCGACCACCTGGGGTTCTTTTAACGTGCACCCATATCTGAGCACACGGGCCTACAGCATTTCCGCCTCTATCGGAAATGCAGCCACCGCAGCCGGGATTCGATCCCGTGACCTGCGGATCAGCAACCGAGTACCTTAGCCACTAGACCACCGTGGCGTGGCGGCAGACGAACGAATGGAAGACAGAAAGTTAGGTGGGCCGATGAGATTAATTAGTTCGCAAGTATAACGTGACAGCAGAAAGCACAAGGCTGGGTTGATTAGCTGATCGTGGGAGAGAGGCCTTTGCCCTGCAGTGGGCGTAGTGAGGCTGATAATGAAAATGGCATTTGCACACCGTTCCAATGCTAGAAAGCAGAAAAGGTTATATGCAACATCTTACCTAGTTTTTTGGCCACTCCTAGAAGCCACTTGACATCTTCTCCATAAGGCGGGTTTCGTGCATACTTCGCTTGAGGCCTGTCATCATGCACCCTGCGAGCCAGCGTCTCCATGGCGAGAAGCCCAACACGATAGGATGACAGGAGATAGTTCAGCTGCGTCTGATTTAGCTGAAAAATGAACAGAAGTCATCAGTACTACATCTACACTATCACACGTCAAGAGCATGTACAAAATAAAAATATTTCAAATTAACAGAATGATAACTTCACAAGTAAACCATAAACTACCATGCCACAGCTTTGTTAAATTCAAACACCATCAGACCATCTTTACACCTGCTTAACCCCTTAAATGCTTTAAACAAGCAGAGCTCGTCCTGTTCGAACTGTCACCAAGCCGCTTTGGATGAGTAGAACTCATCTTAGCAAAATAGGTACTCACTCCCCTCTAGCGTTCAGGTGGAGAAGAGTGCACATACAGTTTACATTACATGTCATCCACCAGATGGCAGCATTTTCTCGAGAATTTATTTTTCTCCTGCGGCAGGAGCCTTGTTCTTGTAGGGAAAGACAGCGTGCGGTGGCAGCGACACATGCATAGCTGGCCCATGAACACGAAAAAAAAAAATGCTATTCGTTTTCGCGATATTCTCAGAGATATGATGATTTGAGTAAAGATATTTATCGTGTGCCCAGAAGTGAAGACATTAATGATAATGAATTGAGTAGCTGCTTCAATGATGATGAAGACAGCTCGGACATGAACATTGCGCGTGCCTGCCAGTGAAGCCGCCTTACATTATTCCGCATTTTGAAATTTTCCATGCAGCCCCATTTCAGGAGTAAAATACCCTAAGGGTGCTTAGCCAACAGAAGTGAAGAAAGATGTGGCATCTGTAACTGTTTGGTTTATAAAGTTTTTAAATGTTATTCGCAGCGGGTAGCTGGTTTTCTTTGTATTGTTTAGAAATAGACTTTATTCCATTGATCTGACTAAGTATATGGAGAAAGTATTTCTTCAACATCGACTAGCTACTCTTTTAGTACAACCACTCGAAATCAGCAATAACAAGGCACTTCTTGACCAGAAATTTCAAAAAAAAAGAAAAAAAGAAGAGCAGTTAAGTGGTTAATAAAGAAAGTAGGTATGGCACGGTATGGTAAGAGGACAGGGACGAAATGGAAGCACAAACTAAAAAAAATTGCTTTTTTCACTTCGTTCCTGTATTTTTAGTGCCGTACCTATTTTCCTCACATAATGACTTAACTCACTCACCAACAAACCTGTTTACACCTGCATCAATGAGAAAAAACAGATACTGTAAAAACCGAAATACTACAAGCTGAATTAAAAAAAAAACAAAAAAAGTTGATTCTCATCTTATATACTGGTCACTGGAACAAAGATATTGGAAGTCTGACCAACTGGAGTCAGCCCTCTCCATCGACATCCCAATCATCAGCGTCGCTTTGTTTACTGCCTGTCTTGTGCTGTAGAGGCCTCATTTAGAGTTTTTGTTGATGTATTGTGAACTGTATCTGAGCTCTGAGCCAGTTTTTTTTTTTTTCTTGTTCTTGATCGATGGCCGACGGAAGCTCACTGTAGCATTCAAGAAAACAGCAATCGAGCTTGCGAAGGCATGAACAAATCTGGCCTGAATTGTGTGGGAGATGTGTTGGGAGGTAGCGCAGTGAATGCAAGCGAGCCGAGAGTCACAAACCAAAACTGAAAGTTTATAATGCACGGGTGCTCTTGCTGCTCCAATCTCGCTAGATACTCGTTTTTTGTTGCTTCCTACGGCGCAAGCAGCTCTAGTTAAAGCTGCATGTCTGGCTATTATGAATGGGTAGATAGAGTGCAGCACAGAAGCATTTGCTACTGGTCGATTACATCATGCAGCAGTCAGATAACTTTTTTTCAGAGCCAGACTGCAGCGTATCTAAAATTGCAAATGAAGGTTGTAGACCTTATATGAAAGTGGCGCTCGCATCACGATTGCTACCGGTGAACTCAGTGCGAGTCCTAAATAAAAAGTCTACATCTTTGCGACGTTCTATGAAGATAACATTTGAGCTCATCTTATGGCGGCTTTTGGCGCTCTGCGACGTGCGTGGAACTTGCACGTAAACACGCGTATAATTGAATAGCATTTTCACTGAGCACCATTTTAAATTGTGCTCGTTTCGTAGCACAGGCGCCTTCGAATACTTTGGCCATTTCAGACTTCTTACTCAGTTACGTAGAGCACCTAGATGCTCTTGAGAAAGATTCGTGCCAGCTTCGCGTGTAACAATCAAACCTGATAGGCTATGCCTTCTCTGTAGATAAGTATTACAAAGTGCACTATCATACAAGCATGCAAATAAAACGTTTTGATTTATCCTTCGTTTTTTCTTTTTCAACCTGTTTATAACAATAACTGGTTGTAATAATGAGATTTCTTTGGTACTTAGATATCGCTATAAGTGAACTGAACTCTATTTGAATTCACTTTGCACACAAAACCTTGTTTTGCATAACTCTAGTTTTAAGGGGAGACGCGGGTAGAAAAGTCGCGGTTTTCTTTAAAAAAAAAAATCACTTTTTTGGTTTCTTTTATATTGTCATCTTTGGTATATGAACCTTTATTTCTGTAAATATCAAGCCGCAGTTTGCACAAGAAGTCACCGAAAAGTGCGCCTGTGACACCAGAATTCATCAAAAGTTGCAAAAGTTCGCGCCGTTTGCATTGTTGCGACGCGGTTGGGCAGTGCAGCCCAACCGCGTGCAGTGCAGCCTAACATGGCAGTGCAGCCCAACATACTCTTGAAGGTATGTAGAGTGCCATTATCTACTTGAAATTGCGCTACCTCTCAATAGTAATTACAATAAAACAAGGTTATGTTTCAGGTAACTGAAACAATGATTGAAATGTCATTTTTTTTTAGCACTTTCCAGTAACTGTACCAATTTCTTTGCTAGATATTGGCCCTCTATGATCTACAAAGAACTAAATAAACCATAGCACGATACTTTGTGTGAAAGTTTAGTACATGAAAATGTGCCCGTACAGACAGCTATAATTTGTCATTTAGTATAATATAACTCAGTAACTATATCAGCTACACAAAAACTTATTGTAGATTTGAAATCTACGTGAAGAACTCTCTAATTAGCTAAATTTCCAAGTCTCTAGCGCAAATAATAATAAAAAAAGCTTTTTCGGGGAGTGTCTCCTCTTAATCGTGATTATGTTTGAAGCAGGTGTGTATTACTGAAATTGAACTGTATACAGTTAAACCTAGATATAACGAAATTGATGAATTCCTGGAAAAATCCGTCATAAAGAGGATTTCGTTAAATGCAGATTTCAGTATGAAAATTCAGTAAATAAACGCGCAAATTAAACAAGACGGGGACTGAAGGCAGAGCTGACCTAAAGCTCTTATTTTATAGTAAAAACTGTTATTTTTGCCATTGAAATTATATGGACCCTCTCGACGTTTTTTTGCCACCGTCACCATGTTCCGAAAAAAGTCCAAATTGATAACATGCCCCCATGCATCGTAACTTTCACGAGCGGGTGAAAGCATGCAAGCGCTGCTGAAGCAGAGATCAAGTGAGTTGGCCCATCCCAATCATCTGGAAAATGCATAACATCTCCTGCGTGTTGGAACTGCCATCCAATGCTCAAACAGAAAGTAAACCACCAGTCTTGAACGAGCATGAAACAGGCGGTCAATACCGCTGGCACACTTGATATCTCGGTGAGTATCAGTGCGGTTTCAATGCGAAGGAACTGTGGTTCCTGCAGCGGCAGTATTTGCTAACACCAGCCTTTTGTAGAAGTTCCACGATATCGAACTCAAAAGAGTTGGCTGCCAGCCTTACTTCTTATACCATTACAATTGTTTGCTATTGCGTTTGTTGCATTGCATTCAACACTCCGTCGTGTTGCCATAACTAATTGGCTAATCGTAAAAGCTAGCAACCTGCGAACTCGCGGCGTGGTTGCAAGACAGAAGCAAGTGACGAGTCGACCTCCGAAGATTCGTCGTCACCGCGGTCTCTGAGAGTTTCGATCAGTGGCTAATCTGACATTCCCTCAGAGGTGACGACACGGTTGTCCGAAATTAAGAAAAGCCACAGTTTCGCCAGATGGGTGAAGCAACGAATGCGATAGCAACAACCTTGAATGTAACGCTGAGAACGACAATCGGATCGAAACATGCAGCGCGCTGCTCATGCAGAAATGACACATGAAAACAACATGCACAGGATGAGAGCAAACTAACAAAGTTTACCGCTCGACACTTAATGCGCTGTTTAAACAAAAATGAGGCACGAAACCTAATCATAAGCACATACCGTATTTACTTGCGTAATCCTCGCACTCGCATAATTCTCGCACTCCCCACATCGCCCAAGAAAAATATGATTTCTTTTTTCCTCGAGTAATTATCGCACCCCAGAAAACTGCCGCAATAATGTCGTCAGCTCGTTCCAGCCACTGATGATGATAGCGCACGCCATTTGACGCCATCTCTTAAGCATCAAGCATACTATTGCACGCAAATTCAATCCAATCCAAGCCAAGCCGAAGTGGCCAGTGCGCGCTGCGGCGTGTTTTGTATGCTGTGTCGGTAATCTTGGCACATTATGGTGTGATACTGAAGCTACACGGCTGCTTCAAGTTGCAAGTGATAGATGACAACGGCACTAAACGACGGCAACAGGGCCGCCGGTAGGCCCTTCGTAGTCTACGAGTTTTGTGATCGCTACTGGTGACGGCAGCTGAAAGCCACTAAGACGCGTTGGGCCTGCCGTGGGCCTAAAACTGGGATTGGATTGGATAATTTTTATTTCGTCAGAAGGAAACTGCTGACGATTCTGTTAAATAGTCATAAGCCCAATACTGACGTCCTACGCTTACCTTTTGAGGGCTCCTGTTGGGCGACGAACGCTACCATTACTCCCGCAACGCTCACAAGCTTTGCGTATGGTATTCTAATTCTCGACTATTTGCTTGCACTTTTTGTGTCTCAAATAAATCTTGCCTTGTGTTGAACCCCTACTTTTATTGTTGAGGTAACTCTTAATTAGTACTTCTCAAAGCTTGCTGTTAGTTGCTGGTGTGAGAATACCGATTTGCGGCCACTTCGTTTTTTTTTTTTTTTTTTTTCGCTCGGTACGCTCTTGTGAAAAGTTCTTCCCGCGTAATTCTCGCACCCCCCAACTTAGCATCGCTTTTTCTGCAAAAAAAGTGCGAGGATTATGCGAGTAAATACGGTATATAAGTGCAAACTAACAAGCGCCCCAGTTGTTACTTGGCTGTTTTTGAAAAGCGTGCCCTTTTCGCAAACGGCTCCTGTCTAGTGAGCGAAGTCATCTTTGCGTGCCGGCAAATAAACACAATCGTTCTGGTCGAAGGCACGCGATTCTCCCCACCCAAGGATAAGCGTGCGAACACAAGCATTTAACCCCCTCACCCCCCTCACCCCCACTCCAATCTGCCAGGCAAAGTATGCGTGGGAGACAAGCAGGCATCAGTGCATCCTGACAAGCTGGGCGCCGAGCGCGGGCGGCCTTTTCTGTCTTCTTCTTGAGTTTTCATGTTGGATACGTATACATATACAGTGAATGACGGCGGCGGCGACGGCAAAAAACCAGCTAACACTGTTCATATAATCGCTATCGCAATAAAAAAAAAGAGCAAAGCCGAATGTAGTCGAGGGCCACATCATGCACACACAGTGTAGCTATGCATGCACGCAGGGCGTCGAAAACGAAGAGCGAACTACACAGACACAGACACCACAGAAAACTATTGGTTCAATAAAGTGCCCACCATTCGCAGCGCGAACCCAAATATGTGACACTAAGCAAAAGTGCAGCACTGCCAACGGGCAAAAAGTAGTTTTTTTTTTTTGGGATTGTGGGGAAGGGGAGGAGGCACACCCACACAGGTGCCCGTGGCGGCGAGAACGGCGGCAACGCCGGCTCGTGGGGTCCAGGCCTGCCTCGCACTCACTCTCGCCTGGTGCGCCCTGCGCGCTTCCGCCGCTTCGCATTTCATCGGTGCCGGGCCAACCGCGGAAGATGCATGCTCGTACCAAAATGCCGAAATGCAGAGCAAAATTTCTAGATTGTCTGTGGGGAAAATTTGTTCTATCAAGATTGTCTCCCGCCGTTGCTTTGTTAAATAAAGGTCACAAATACATGTGCTTTCTATAGAGCAACAGCAGGGAATAGAAAAACTTTGTTATATCGAGGAATTTGTTATACAGAGGTTCGTTATAAGCAGGTTTAACTGTACTAGTACTTTTACGGTTTTGAGCCCTGAAAGGGAACTTACCTGGTGCACCTGTCCTTGTTGAGGAGCTGCTGGGGGCGGTGGAGGTGCAGGAGGCGGAGCGGCCATTGATAGCACTGCTCGAGCCATGGGTGTAACGTGCACGCCAATCATTTGATGTGTGTATGCAGGAGGTGGTGCCTGCGGTGGAGCACCATGCCGACTGGCAGCAGCATAAAACTGGGCGTGGCTGGGCAAAGGAGGGTACTGGTATGTCGGTGGAGCCTGAAGGTAGGCGGGGTGCTGGGTAACCAGCAAGTGAGGGTGGTGGAAAGCCGGAAGGCTACCAATATATGGGTAAGGGGGTGCCCGGTATGGTAGCGTGTACTGAAGTGGTGGAACCATGGGAAGCTGTGGTGCTGGAGCGGGACTCAAGCTATCCATGACAAAGGATGCTGCAACATCAGGCAGGCCGTTCCCTTCTAAAGATGGTGCAGCCAAGCCTGGAGGGGAGTTCCCACGAGGTGCTGCATCCCCTCCAGAGGCAGGAGCATCTCCTGTCCCTTGGGTAGTTTCCTCATACAGCTCAAACCTGGGTAAGGGCATGACAGAAGATGAGTGAATAAAAGCACTCAAGAGTAAAGCAAGATTTCTGCCCGTTATACAGTGAGTACAATGCCTAAAAACAAGTTCAACATCATTTTAAGCCCATTTGAAATTATACAAGCATTGATACCACCCAGGGCTATTCCCATGACCACATCCATAGGTACGATCCTCAGATGGTCAATTTAACTTTTTTATTCTTCACTGTGGATTTAAAGGGGTCGTGAATTGAAAATGAAGCTGCCCTGTTGTAATCTTCCCTGCTTCAATAAGGATCAGACATACAGATTCCAAAATAATTCGGTGCAATATTCAGTCTATAATTCATAACGACTGAAATCGCTGATTGATTCAGCTCTTAAACAACCAATTGGCCCTACCGGCCACCAAAGGCACTAACATGAGATGTCAAATTTCATGGTAACAAATGTTTTAAACATACCGTAAGCATTCTTTTGCTCTAAAATGATAGATTTACAAGAACCTAGGAAAGGAAAAGATAACACAGCAATTTTCGTGCTCTGAGCTGTGTGTACTATGGAAGTACTGCAAGTGATCTGCTTGGTTCCGCTTTCAAGTACATCCGAGCTCCACCAAGTGTCAACTTCACTTGCTTGGTGCAGCATCCCAGTGTTTTCCTAACTGGCTACATTATGTTGTTTTACGTTCTGTTTTACTTAGGTTCTGTTTTACTTAGACATAGCTATGGCTTAGCCATAGCTATGTCTACTATATTGCACAGTCCAAGAGTGCTGCAAAACTTAAAAGTGGAAACAAGGTTCGCAGCAGCTTCACGGCACCACAATCGAGACAGTACAATGCTACAAACCTTGGACAACTATGGCTCAGCAAACATAGCTGCATCGCCATGTTTTGTCCCAGACAGAGACTTCACATTGGCTGAATTAAAGTGACATCAGCTGTACCATTGAGGGGAACGTGAGTGGGGAATCAAAATCATGCTTTTATAACTATTAAATGTACCTGGACGATGAAACGAGTTCAGGTATAGTATAGAATAGATGGCCTGGATTCTGCAGATGTCCACCATTTTGATTTTTTCCAAATTACTTGACTTTTCCAGGTTTTCTACGATGATTATATACGCAAATTCCATGCTTGGAAAACTATGTGCAAAGAAAACAAGCCCTCGAGAGGCAAAACAATTTAAAAATCAGCACTCATATAGAATAAGTAATCATATTTGTCACACAAGCTCAGAATGTTCCGAGTGCGTGCGGTAAATAAGAAAGTGGTACATTTGGTCAAAATAAAACCTCTGAGCCAGGCAGTGAGCGTAATGGCTGTTTGATGTATTGAAAAACTAAGCAGCAAACTCACGACTTCAAGTTGACTGCAGCTGAAAGTTGGAAGGAGCCCGCAATAGACCGACAACACAGCCAAAACTGCTTGGAAACGAAGTTGCACAGTCTCGCGACATCTGTGTAAAAAGGGGAAGCCAGATTCCGGCCGGTATGGCACACGGGAGGACTTGCACGCTTTTTGCCTGCCACTCAACAAAACGTCGAAAGTGTGACCGCTTTGCTTGAGCGTAATCCGCGTGTTAGGTGCCGCATTGCGATGCGCTTGCTCATAGCTGTTGACCACATGGCAGCCAACTTGCCGCTTCGGGGGTCCTGGTATTCAGCTGTGGAGACGGTGAATATTTCGTGGGCGGCGGAGACGGCTAAATGCGCGCAAAACTGTTTTCGCGAAGCCGACTTTGTTGACATCGGGCCCGATTCCGAGCCTGAAGTTTCCGAATAGGATCACCCCGGCAGCGATTCGTGGCAGCGCGTCGACTCCAACATGGGAGAGCGGGTGGTACATCTGCTGCGATGGTTTAATCACGGCCGATGATGATGCCGACACAGCGGAACCATGCACGAATTAGGGCATTGTGAATGAAGTACGTGGTGAAAGCGATTTGAAGGAATCGGATTGCGAGAACGACGAAACTTTGGAGCCAGTGCCTCATGCAGCTTATGCCACGGGCCTCGGCGAACTAGCACCCTGCGGTTTTAAATGAACTTGAGACCACCCTTATCACTTCTGTTCTTCGAAACACGTGCATCATGAACTTTTTTGGGCAAAAAAGTGTGTTTTCACTCACAACTTTTTAAACGCTGTGCTTCATTTACTACGAACTTCGGGATACAGCGAACGGATGCCGCGTCAGGCTCAGGTTCGTTATAAGCGGGCTTGACTGTTTATATAAAGAAATCAATAAAGGACAGTCTGGCGGAATTCGCGATGCATGCGAACCTCTGAGTACCGGTTGCTCTAGCAATTCGTGCACTTGCACTGCGGGCGGAGTTCTTGCCTATAACGCCTACTTCGAAAACTCTGTTCAGAAGCTTCAACGGTAATGTTTTTCAGTTAGAACACATTGCGAATTTCATCACACTGCCCATTATTAAATTCTTTATTGTACTAGAAAAAATGGGCCAATGGTCGTGTCATGACGTGGTGATGCTGCGAGGAGCAGACAACATGCTGCCCTCATGTCACTGTTGTATTGCAATGAAGATGTCTTGTGTTTAGCAGGCGTGTGTTTTGCAGGCGTGCATTTCAGTTTATCTTTTTTGTTTGCTTGCTTTTGCGGTGGCAGTGGCGAGGCCTGGCATTTCCTTTTGTTAGCGGAAAAATTGTGACCAAGAATTGCTAGAAAGCATAACCCTTGCAGCCGAAACTAGCTGCAGAACAAAGGACCAGCCCTACTTATTTTGAATAATTTGAAGTTCCACTTTCCATTTTTTGTATGTTTCATTAATTTGAAAGCCCGCTTAATTCGAAGATTTCCCACAATTTCAGGGACTTCGAAAGGTTTTACTGTATCAAGCCAGCATTGCCACACCTTTTGTTCCCTTAACATAAAGTTATAGCAAATTTCTCTGATGAGAGCACAATATCCTAAAGTTTTCCTTGATTGTTTTCCAGACTATCCGGAATTACTGAGAGTACCCAGTATTCCCAGTCGGTAGTGACCCTCAATTTTGCGAAAAAATGGTGTACTAATAAAGCCACAGGAAATAAAACAACTATTTTGGCTGATTTTGATTTCTCCCCTTGCCTTGCAGGGCACTCTTCTCTGCAACAGAAGCTTTGGGGAAACACTCGGCAGCATATTGCAGTCCCTGTAGTACCTGGGTATAATACACAACAGTGACTGCCAAAAAAAAGAAAAAGAGAGAGAGGCCCTTAAAGGACCCATGACAGCGAAAGTTTTGTTTGTGGGACTTTTTCACAGTAATTTGTAGCATTGTATCTCGCAATGCCAAAATTGAATCATAAATGCTCCAACGCATGACATAACTAATGCTAGCATTGTTAATTCAGAACGATTTTATGTCAGTTCGAAATGTCTACCATAAGAAAGAAGTACCATAAGAAACAACCACCCCACAGCGGGGCAGCACCTGAGACTACGTGCACTCAAGCTTTGGTGACACTGTACGTGCCCTTTTTAAACAGGGGGATCCGCGGGCGGTCAAGAATGAAACGGTGCAGGTGCTTTGAACGTGTCCCCACACAAACCACCTTGAGAGCAGCTAAAAACAGAGCAAGAAGGATGACAAACAGTCCTCGCCAGGAGCCAGACAGGGTATTGTCCGCACCCAGCAAATGTTCTCTGACACTGACTAAACAGTCGACGTCCGATTTCCCAGACGCCCGAAATTCCGGACATGCCCGATTTCTCGGACTCGTCTGTGACATCGTCAAGTTCCATGTCAAGTCAATGTATTAAAAAGTTCAAAACTCCGGACGCTTATAGCTTTTGGCATCCGATTTCCTGGACTTTTTACTGTTAATCGCCAACCCAAAGTCACCACCGATGTTGCCATTTTGGTTGTTTTCACATCGCCGCGCCGCCAACCGCCGCACCGCGTCACGGCTGCCATAACCTCGAAACCGCATGTGTCAATCCATTGCCAGCCGTTCCTTAGTGGCTTAGCCAAGCCAAACCTTACTGTGTTCATTCACGTGCTATTTTGTCAGCTCTGCGGTCCTGGTCTACGTTTCCCGACCTTCAGCACCCACCGAGTTCCTAGCTGTTTCGTGTTGCACTTTTCATCGAGCGGATTCGCCGTTTACAGCGATGGCACCGACTGCTCCTTCATCTTCGTCCGCGCTTTCGAAGCGCACAAAGTATCCTCATAAGCTCACGATGGGAAAAGCTACGCTGTTGACCTCAGGTCTGTTGTCTGCATGCTAGCGGAATCGTGGAAGGCGGTTATGCAAGAAATTCTGCGGAACTGTTTTCGCCACGCAGGCTTCACACTCAATGCTGAGACAGCCGTCTCGCCTTAAGGGGGGACGCGGGTCTTAGAAAAGTAAAAGTTGGCCAAAAAATCGATTTTGAGAAAAACGCATTTTTCGAATCTTTGAACCTATAAGCACCTCTCCTCAAATTATTAACGCTAAATTCGATAAAAAAAAATAGGTTAAAATCTATTTTCAAACCATCACGGGAGTCGCAAAACAACCCGCAAAACAGAAAATTTGTTCGAACTTCCCCAGCGCGCCGCCAGCGAAGCAGCCGGCGGATCGGCGCCATCTTGGGCTTGTTTTGAAGCTGGTTCCTTTGTGCGCGTTTTGCGGGCTCTCAAAATGGCGTAGCTCCAACACAACGACTGCCCTCCCCCGTTTTGCGAAGCCGTCTGCCGAACCGCTGATTGGCTAGAGCGCGCGCGTGCCGGCGAGCTCCCGCGTCTCGCGCTTACCATTGGCTGGCGCGGCGGCGCGGCCACGGTTGCTCGCTCTTTTTTTTTGTTTGGTTTTGCTCTTTGTGAGTACATAATAACTGTGAGAGCACAATCGCATACTGTTAATAATGTGGTTGCCAGATAGTTTAGGCCTCAAATAGCTAAAATCATGCTACATGCGGTCTACTGTATTTCAATATGCTATTCATGCACAATAACAATGAAAACACCGCACTGCAAGCTTGGAAGAGAACCTTATCACAAACATACCATCGGCGAGCAACGTCGAAAAGAACCTCTGGGTAAACGCCACCTCCTTTGGCAGCAGACTCCACAGCCAAGCATGCCTGCTCAAGCACAGCAGCAGACTGCTCCTTGCACTGGAGTAGGGCTCGCTGGATTTCATTAGGGTTGAGAGCGTGTGCATGCGGTAAGCAGGACAAGGCCAGCTGTGCAGCGGCCCGCACCATGGCTGGATCCCGGCCTCGCGATGCCTTGTCTGCCAAAGACGCCACTTCCGGGGGTGTCAGGTGGCCCTCCCATGTGTCCATTAGAAACATGAGGGCACTGCTGCCTATTTCCATGGCTTGCCCTGGGTCCCAATACAACGGCTGTTGGTAAAGCTCTGTTTTTCTTCAACTTGGCATCATACATGCATCACATGTGGCTTCACATGGGTAACACTGGGGACGTTAATCATTGCTTGGTTTTGAAGATTATTAATTTTATTTTTATTGCTGAATTTTCTTTCTCCAAAGTGGGAGTGCAGACCTCACACATGGGTGAGCATTTCATTATTGAGTACAGTACAATATCGATGACACACACAAAATATTCAAATAATTTCAAATTCGTATGAACAAAGCAAGTTAAAGCCGATCATGAAAATGAACAAGAACATTATTGGGGTCAACTACCGCTTGCAGATAACGTGCGAAATGTTATTTTGAACTTTTCTGCCTCGACTGTCTTTCAAGAAAGCCGCCTGAAAGGAGTAAAGCTGTGCAGCTGTTTCCTCACTTATGCTGCTGGAGCTTAAAGAGGCCCTGCGACAATATTTGAGTATGTATTTTTGATTGGTTCTTCTGGTGCTATAACGGGCGAAATCGTTGCGCAAACGGCAACACTGAAATCGACGTTGTAATAATTTTAATTCACGAGACAAACTACCTTGATTTCAGGCTATGGCGACCCACATAGGCTATTTTTGTTATGGAAAGTGATGCCATGTCATGTGATGCGACGACAAAGAATGTTCGCTTTTAATTAGCTTGACGCGACAAAAAAAAATTTCGAGTGTGATACAGTCGAACACGGATATATCGAACCCACATATATAGAATTTTCGGGTATATCGAACTCATAAGTTATCCCCTTAAAATGCCTTCGAATATATCGAACGCCGCACAAGCTGAAAGGTGCGCTTCGGCACTCGCCCTGCCCCGCAATATTTGCGGTAGCGCGGCTCTGTGCGCGAGTTGAACGGTGCGTTTTGGCACTTGCACACCCGGCGACCTCTGTGCGGCATGACGCCTCTGCCAAAACACGAAACGCTCGGAAAAAAAAAAAAAAAAAAGGCAAGGGTGAGTGTGGCAGCTTGGGCTAGTTGGTATGACATGACGATAGCTGTAGAGCGAGAACAGAACGACGACACAGCGCTCGTGTCCTTCGTGTCTGTGTGTCGTTCTGTTCTTGCGCTATAACTATCGTCAAGGGTGAAAGGGCCGAGACTACACAATCTTTAATACGCAGAACGGCTTTTTTTCTCTTTCCCTCTAACAGAACAACGACACAGCGCTCGTGTCCTTCGTGTTTTTCTTGTCTGTGTCGTTCTGTTCTCACGATATAACTATCGTCGAAGGTGAAAGGGCCGAGACTGCACAATCTCCAAATCGCAGAACGCCTTTTTTCTCTTTCTCTCTCTTATTATTTCTCCGCTTACCCATTGGCAGGACGAAAGAGCCAAAGTCCTTTTTATTTTGCCTTTTTTTTACTTTTTTGTTGCTGTTTTGCTAGATTTGATCAGCACACCACAGCTCGTGCCTTTTACTGTTGCCCTCTCAGGTGGCCATCTCCTCGCAAGTTCTGTGTTGCTTCTTCCACTCGCGCGTCGCCTACGTACTACTGCATGTGCAGCACAACTCTTTTGCGTGCGTGGTGTGCAAAGCTGCTGCAGACTCCATGAATTGTACTTCCCGTGCAGCTATGGCCAGCGTCAAGAAGCGCAAGACCCTTGACTTAGCGACGAAGTTGAAGGCTATTCAGCCTTTTGAGGCAGGCGAGAATGTTTGACCGTTGCGGACGACTTCGAGATACCATGGAGCAATCCGACTAGTACACTGTTGAAGAACAAGGCAGATAACAAGGCGAAGGTGGTGAAGAAGCAAATGTCAGGAACCTGTCATGTGCGGGCTTCTGCCCACGGGAATGTAGATGAGGCACTCTATGCCTTGTATTTAGAAGTGTGCGCGAAGAAGATTTCAGTGGATGGCTGATGCTGATTGCCAAGGCCAAATGGTTTGCCGCTGCACTTGGTGAAACAACTTCGCCGACAACAACAGGTGGCTACACTGATTGAAGGGGGGATGTGGGGATCGTTTGCAACTTTTTTGTTTCTTGGCCTAGATTCATGAAATTTGGTGTACAACCTAAAAATAACATTAAAAAGATGAATGCAAATTTTCATGAAGATAGTTTCACTAGTTCTCATTTTATAAAAAAAAATCTTAAGTTTGTCGCTCATGGAGAGTCTGGCACAGCAAGGAAACTTGCTTAAGTGCTGGAACAACTTTTAATGTATGTGTACATATTGCTTGTAGCCGAAGACAGTGCCAGGTTTTTTTTTTTTTTTTTCAATGCCCTAACAATATTCTGCTGAACATTATTTGCATATGCATGTGCTTCATCAAATCCTGCCTTTCAGCAATTGTGAAATTTAAAAAAAATGGAAGCCTAAACTAATATTTGAAGACTGCCTTCAGGTATGACAGCCTACGAGTTGCAATAAAACAAACAGAATGAAAATCGGTCCAACCATAGTCGCGCAATGCTTTCAACGAGCAAGGTGGTTGGCAAAAAAAAAAAAAAAAAAAACATCACAGAAAATGGTCTTTAAAGTTTTGCAAATGTTGCACCTTTATTAAAATGCCCGAGGGATAATAGTCTTTGGCATCACTGTGAAGAGGCATCTTCTTGGACCTCTGTCCCTTGGTTTCTTCATTTTTGCGCGCTCTTTTGAGACGCAAGCAGTCTTTTTTTTTTTGAGCCCTCTGGAGGGCCATGGAACCAGGACGCACACCCAATGTAACACACGTTTCCGAGTATACGCACGCATCCTGAATTATATTTCATTACTGCCTCGTTTACCGCTGTCTCTACAGCAAAAAGGGAGGCATGTTGGTCCTTGGATAGTAGAGACCAAATCACAGAATGCAAGCTTTCAGCTGCATTCTGTGTCTTCCCTCCTTTAAACCGCTCGAGCAGCTGTGTGTCTGCAAGGCGTTCATACAATGGCAACAGCGCTTTGGCAACTCTGCCGGAAAGCTTGTACTTGTGGGCTGGTTGTGCATGTCCTTGTGTCTCTGCAACTTTGTGTGTACACCAGCTCGTAGGAGCAAGGCACATGATGAATGAAAGTGCCTGTCGAGCTCGTCGACACGTGGGGAACGCTCCCTGATAAAAGGCGTGCTTCGCTTCCGCACGCTTTACCGGCGACGGCGACCTTTGATCCCAACGGCTGTCGGCGATTTCATCTCTGTGCTCGGTCGATGGCGTTGAGCAACTTGGCCAACACGGTGAATCATCGTTCCCGTCGGAGCTTGTTGACGGATGAAGATCGCTCGTAGATAACGGGCGCACTTTCGCAGACTTTGACGGCTGTTATATTCAGTTTCGGTTTTTACTTTGTGTTATTTCACCCCCAGGGGGCGCGTCTGTCTTTTATGTATATATTCGATGTGTTGCGTACAATAAGGTCTTTTTGTAAGGTGGTGCTGCCGGTGCTTCTTAACGTCTTTCACAGACACCACATTGGCGACGAGGATGGGATAACACACGGCAAGCTACCTGCAGCATCGAGTGTCGTCCGGGTCCGCCCCGCCATGAGTTTCTCCAGC